TCGTTCGTTCCGACAACACAGCAGTGGTGGCCTATCTGAATCACCAGGGCGGTCTGCGCCTCTGTACAGACTGGCGCGTCAGATCCTCCTGTGGTCCCAGCAGAGGTTACTATCGCTCAGGGCGATGTATCTCCCGGGGACGCAGAATCAGGGAGCAGACCTGCTGTCGAGGCAGGGGCTGAGGCCCGGGGAATGGAGACTTAACCCCGAAGTGGTGGAGCTCTTGTGCGGAGAGTTCGGCCCCATAGACGTGGATCTGTTTGCGTCTCAAGAGACTACGCACTGCCCGCTATGGTTTTCTCTTGTTCCTCCAGCCCCGTTGGGTCTGGACGCCATGGTACGTTCATGGCCAAGGCTACGTCTGTACGCTTTTCCCCCAGTCGCTCTGCTCCCAGGGTCCTGGAGCGGGTCTGCCAGGACAATGTCGGCCTACTGCTCGTAGCCCCGTTCTGGCCAACCCGGGTGTGTTTCTCGGACATCTTGTCGCTCCTGGACGGCCCGCCGCGGCAGGTCCCTCTGAGGAGAGACCTGCTGTCCCAGGCGCAGGGCCGGGTTCTTCACCCTTGCCCCGCCGTATGGCAACTGTGGGTCTGGCCCCTGAGGGGGCACAGTACCTAGAGGCGGGTCTAACAGCCGGAGCAGTCGAGACCCTCCTCAGCTCCAGGGCCCCGTCCACACGGAGGATGTATGGCCTGAAGTGGAGTGTTTTCTCCACTTGGTGTAGGGAGCGGTCGGTGGACCCTGTTACCTGCCCGGTGGTTCAGGTTCCTCCAGGACCGGTTCTCTGCTGGTCTTTCCCCTTCCACCCTCAAGGTGTACGTGGCAGCTATTTCATCTTTCCACGCCCCTCTGAGGGAGGGGTCTTTGGGGAAACTTCCCTTGGTTGTACGTTTCCTCCGTGGTGCCCGGAGGATGAGACCTGCGACTCGGTCCAAGGTTCCCACTTGGGATCTGGCGGTGGTTCTTGGGGCATTGGCTGAGGCCCCCTTCGAACCCCTGGAGTCAGCTGAGGCTAAGTACTTGACCCTCAAGATGGCCTTTCTCCTTTCTATCACCTCTCTGAGGAGGGTGGGGGATCTCCAAGCGCTTTCGGTTTCTCCGCAAAGCCTGGAGTTTGCCCCGGGGAATATTAGGGCTATCCTGCACCCTCGCCCAGGATACATCCCTAAAGTGCCTTCTTGTGCGGCAGGGTCCACAGTGCTGCAGGCATTTCATCCTCCACCTCATGTGACGGCGGAGGATGGGAGACTTCATCTGCTCTGCCCTGTCAGAGCACTGAGTATTTACACTCTGAGGTCCTCCCGTTGGAGGAAGGCTGACCAGCTGCTAGTGTGTTTTGGGTCCCCCGGGGCTGGGCTCCCTGCATCCAAACATACTATTAGCAACTGGATTGTTCAGACTATTTCCCTGGCCTATCAGGTGCGCGGTTTGCCTTCACCTGTGGCTGTGAGGGCTCATTCTACCAGAGGCATGGCGGCCTTTTGAGCCCTCCTTTCCGGGGCTTTGCAGGATGTTTGTGTAGCGGCTGGCTGGGCCACTCCGCACACATTCATTCGGTTTTACAGTCTTGACCATCCTTCGGCACCTGGCACTCGTGCGCTCTCCTCTTAGTCGTGCCACTTTATTGCACACTGGGGGAGGCGGGGTTTTCGGCACGGTTTAGTGGGTATCTCGTTCCCATAGTGTCTTAACCAACACAGTTCGAGTTCGGTTACGTATGTAACCCTGGTTCCCCGAGAAGGGGAACGAGACACTGCGTCGGCCCGCCGCACCTCTATCCCCGCCTGAAGCGCCTGCTTCATAGTTTAAGCTATTGATGAGTGTGTACAGGTGTGCTTTATACTCCTCCGGTTATTCCGTCACACCTTACCGTTCTAGCAACAAACCAATAGGATTGGAGTGATTTCATTCACGTTCAGACCTGCTACGCCTAGAGGCGTTCCCATAGTGTCGTAACCGACACAGTGTCTCATTCCCCTTCTCGGGGAACCAGGGTTACATACGTAACCCGAGACGATTTGTTGTAACTCAGTATAGCAGCACTTAGTTGCCGCTGTAGTAGTAACATTACACGTGATTACGATGAACGGTAAGTTAGCTATCTCAGCTAGATAACTTGGCTAGCTTGTATCTAGCAAGGTTGTTCCTTGGTTAATTCAAGCATTACACACAATGTTTGTTAGACAGTGCATCTGTGATATCGATTGGTGATAAGATCAGTGGCATATGTTGACCGAGGTAATATTTTGGACATCTGTTAGATAGAATACAATGATTTATTTTGCACACAACTCCTCATGTTAATGGCTCCCTGTGACTAATAAAGGTAAAAAACGTGATAGTGTAGTGATTCAGAATTACGATGAAAGTAGCTCATGCACACTGCTGGTGACACATTGAACTTAAACTTACAGTCCCTTGTGTGTAAAGGAATGTATGAATAGGCGTTTGTTTTAGGTGTATGAACACCTGATATAGCTATACCTAGATAAAGTAATCCTCAAGTTCCAGCTGTCAAACAGCTGAGATTTAATTTGCAAGGTCGTCCAAAATCAAATATATGTTTGTGTTGTTTTTTGTTTGTTTTCAGCAGGACGGATTTTGAGCGGAGAGTGGAGCGATGACCAGGCTGATGGAGCTTGCAGAAATGTCTCTCCACCAACCAGGACACTCTTCAAGTTCTGAACCAGATGTGGGACATCTGGCATGAAATATAGCCTCCTGTCTGGTCTTGCAGGATGTGAGAAGTGTTTCTTTGAACACTTTTTTAATTCTCAATCTTTCAATCAGATTCAAGGAAAACTTACCTACCTGGATATAAAATATAATAAAATGTATTGTTGAATGCAATTGGTTGCCTTGTATATTTTGCACTGTTTACCAAAACTTCTTTCTTGACTTAAACTAAACAGCTTCTGGCATTCATTGATATTTACTTGTTGTGCATGTGTATGTGAATGTGTCTTAACATAACATGAGAATGTCTGTAATTATGACAATAGAAGCATGAGAAAAAATATATCTATACTGTAATGTATTATACCTTACCCCCTTCCCTCCAATATTAAACAAAAACATTTAATTAAATTTAAAGGGCTTCATTGCATGAAGGTTTTAAGAACAGTGCTTCCAAAGCATCAAAATGCAATTTGTCAATACACACAGTATACAGTAAGTTAAAAATGGACATGTTATTAGTTATAAAACAAAATACAAAGTGAATTGAAAGAAGAAAAAGTTTGGTGGAACTCTGGGATTTTGTAAGGCATATCATCAGGTGATTAAACAAACAAAACAGGTGCTAATGATCATATATTCAATATGTAGGTGGAAACAGGATGATTGAGTGAATCAACCTAACTCAGTTTACAAGGTAAGAGAAGACAGTTTACTGTCAGTCATACTGATACACCATGGCAAGAGAAAGCACAGTAGCCAGACACAAGGTAGAGCTACTGCACCAGCAAGGTCTCTCCCAGGCAGCAGGTGGTGTGGATTGATCAGTCAAAATATGTCTGTGTTCTGGTTAATAGTTTAGCCTCTGTTTGGGGAAGGGTGAAATGGTACATTGGCCATACTGAAATGAATCCCCAGTTAACAGTAATGTTATGGATCGTATTTAGGAATGTAGTTAATTCATTCAGTAACCATCAATGTGGTTACATTTCAACAGACCACACTGTGAACTGTCCGTCCATCACTCCCAGGATAGAATATACTAACTATAAGTGTAGTCAACATCGTAATCAATGCACATTATGCATTAATATTTACCGAAAATTGCTGCAAATTAAGTCGCTGCTGTAAATGTGCAACGTTACGTTATGGGAACAGCCCCTTTTCCTTCCAAAATTAAACAAAAACTGATTAAATCTGTGTCTCTGCCACTCTCCAGAACAAATGTTAGTATATGTATGTAATGTAAGTGTCAACTCAGTAATCAGTGTCATATTTTGTTTATATTTACTGATAATTGCTGTAAATATAGCTGCTTCTGGTGTCCGTCCCACCTAAACCCATTCAAACTGGTTGACAGCGCTGAGTCGTTTGGAACTATGGAGAGCTACATGAACCACGTGACCGCGTAGCAGCAAGATCAAAGAGTCGTAACTCTCTTATTTAACAGCCCTGGTTATAACGTTACACTGGTTTGAGAGTGTGAGGAATGTGTTGACTTACAGTAGTTTATAAGCTGTCATTGATTGCATTGCACATTTCATGGTTGTGCTCTGTGAAAAACAGGTTATAGATTTATTGTCGATCATGCAACGTTACAGTTTTATTTAGTTATAACGTTACACTGGTTTCCCTGCGATGGACTGGCGACCTGTCCAGGGTGTACCCTGCCTTTCGCCCGATGGCAGCTGGGATTGGCTCCAGCCCCCCCACAACCCTGTACGCAGGATAAGCGGTTGGTTGACGATGGATGGATGGATGGATGGATGGATGGGTTACACTGGTTTGACAGTCTGGGGTGTGTGTTGACTCAGTTGTTTAGAAGCTGTCATTAATTGTAGACGCATTGTAGCCTACATTAGGCTACATGGTGCTCTGTGAAATAGGGTACGGGTTTATTGTTTATCATGTATAGTTACAGTTTTATTTAACATTAGTTAACATTACACTGGGTTTGAGAGTCTGCGGGGTGTGTTGACTTACAATAGTTAATAAGCTATCATTAATTGCATTACACGTTACATGGTTGTGCTCTGTAAGTTAAAAACAGGTTACAGTTACAGAACTCCTTATTGCTATGCAGCGTTATAAACAGCCTGGATTGAACGCAGCAGGTGATACAACATTCATTATAACCACTAGTGACTTGAGACTTGACTTGGTCTCTTGCTTAGAGACTTGAGACTTGACTTGGACTCCAGCTGAAAGACTTGTGAGCATCTCTGCCGCCTGGACAAAAATGCCAGGGCCGATTTTTTGCCCCAGTCCAGCCCTGATTATGTACCTCTTTGTGTGTTTGCTTATGTTGTTTTTATTTGGCAGCGGTAATGCTGCACTCTCCCACTGGGATTAATAAACGACTCTAGATAGTAAAGCAGTGCTCATGGTTCACTTGTTGGCTAAAAGAGTACGGTTTAGACCTGCTCTATATGAAAAGTTAAATTACATGACCTTATGATTTGGTGCTATATAAATAAAAGTGATTTAAGTGAAGAAAACTGCATCTGATATGGACATGGACAGCAATACTGTACAAACTCACAACTTAGAAATGAGTTTAGTCCTTTTTGATTGGTTCATTTATATGTATTTACACAATTCATTCAAATGATTATTTATTTCATAATGTCCTTTTATTTATATATTTTTTAATAATTTGGGGATCCATATTCAAAGCAAAAACACACAAGTCCTCATTAAGAACAAGAAGCAGATCAACCCAATAAATAGACACCATGTTTCTTCTGTTCATTTAATGAAGACATTGTTGAGGTAACAGTACACAGGTGACTGCTGTCAGACAAAAGAGTGCAAAGTTTTATAGTATTGCACACACCTGACACTGTATCTACCATACATATTCTTTTCACACCAATACACTGGTAAGGCTATAACTTCAAGACAATCAGTGATTACTGAATTAATGAGTTGCTTAATTGATTATTTAAAATTACTGTCTCTGTGCTCTTCTGGCATTCTGTACATGGGATAGGCAGAAAAAAATAGGAACAGTTTATATCACTACAGTATATACATACGATTCCAGTTACAGTGATCCACAGTTTCTATCATTGGGTACATGACACCGTACATTGATACTATAATTTTGATGTTATTCTCTACTTCTGCATAGTGCTTTCAGTTCACGTTGCAGTACTTCACACTGGTAAACAACTCATTCATTTGCTATATTTGTTGTGATGCCATGAAGAAACTCCCAAATTTGGAAACTCAGCTTGTAGTTTCCACATATGTGCCAGTTTGTAATATCATCATTGTGCTCCCAGCCATGCAACGGTACCAGCTCAAGCACCTTGTCAGCCACAAATGTAAAAAATGTATCTGAGAAATGATTGGGTGTGTTTGGGTCAGAGTTGTAATTTTATAAAGTAAAACAACTTTGTTTTGTGAGTATGGTAGAACTGCACTACATAGACTTTTAGCAACTTTCTATTTTATTCCACCAGACATACTTACTGTGATACATACTGTACCAAGATCACATATGGTGGTTTCATGTAACATCTTACTCACTGAAATGTGTCCAGTCATTACACAATTCATGGGCAAAAAGAGACATGTGCACCTCTGTGGGTATGATGTTTTCCCAAAGGTCCAACCACTACTGACGATGACCAACAAACGGAGTTGGTTGGTAAGAAGAATTCATCCTTAGAGGGTTGTGAGCTGTATGCCCTTAACAGCACAAATAATCTGCTGTTAATACATCACCACTGAATCACAGGAAGCACTGAGTTAAAGCAGCCAACAGTACTATCATCATTCAGTGTGCACTACTTCGCAAATATTGAATGTGTAACGTGGTTAAAAAGGAACAGTGCGACATGGGGAAATACAAATTAGCATGTGAATGTATCAATTCCACGATGTGTTTAGCACAAAAATTTCAAACACTGGAAACAGTCTAGCTGCATTAAAAAAAATAAGAAATATCCTTGTAACAGGAGCATCTTTATGTTCCCGGGTCCTCTGTTCCCCAGCTCAATATCCTCTTAATATGACACATTAAGGAGACCTTTAAAGGGGTTATGTCCTCAGCAATGCTTTTCCCGTAGGTCAATATGTTGAAATCACCCACCTACAGCTTATTACTGAGGTTATACTCCCTGAAACCTATGCTCTCACGTTTGCGTGCAAGTCAGTTCTCTTGACTTTTTACCATTCATACTGCATTTGAAACACCCATCTCCCTTGGTTTGTTTGCCCATGTGAGCTGCGAACATAATCTCTGACTTTAGTTTATATACAAGAGACACCCATTTTGGGAACATAGAACCCTAAGAACAAAGGGATGAGCCCAATGTAACAACTCTACAGATGTCTTATTTAGGCGTTGTGTCTTGATCACAAGTTGTGTTACTTGTGGGTTTCTTTCTCACTTAATACAGTTTTTTTTTTCAGATTGTGTGCACAGCCCTAACAGTTGTTGTTCAAGAAATTGACAGCATACAAACATGCTGTAGGTCTAGTCAGGGCCAGAGCCAGGATTTTAGAAATACCAAGCGTATGAGTCAAAAGCCCTCCAGTGAAACCCACACGTCCTAATCCGGAGATTTTGATCTTTATCTTTAACTGCCAGGAATGTTATTCAGGAGGAAAAATGCTAAATTCCTGTTTTGATCACAATGTATGTAGTTTGTTAATTTTATTGTATCTAAAAATATTTATTGAGTCTAAAGAAATATAACATAATAACATCAAGAACATGAGCTTTGTGTCCTCATTGTAAGCTACTAGGGGTGTAACGCAAAGCTATTATCTGTCTCTGTTCATGTCATAAAGATATCTGTATTCGATTTATCCCAGGAGTGGGTCAGCCAATACGAGAAGTTGTCAACACGGCTTCATTTCCTGCATTGACTTGTTTTCTACTGCCATTTATACTCATCATACATATATCTATAAATGTAGCTGCCAACAAAACACAGCATAGTATTTTACCTATGCACATGTATTAATCAAATAATAAACCATCATTTGTACAATGAACTGAGTTTAAATCAAAGTTGTGTAACTGTTAATTGTCTGGGTGGAAGTCAACAGCTTATAATAGGAGCTCAGAGGAAAAATCCAGTCACGCAGAGTCAGAAATGCATTGAGCCAAATTGCATGATATTGGTAAACAAATGTAGGTTGTGTATATAATGAGCGGATGCCAGTGTCTAAGTTAAAAAAAAAAAGGAACAAGCTATTAACAGTAAGGTTAGTTTGATGTGTCTTTGAAAAACATGACAAACAAAAATCTACATCATGAAAAGATCTGGTGTTTTGATTTCTAGCAGTACCTGTTTACACTGTACAGACAACAATACCACCTGGGGCCTGTACCACGAAGCAGGATTTGAGCTTATCGAGGTAACTTTGGGGTTAAACCTGGGTTTTCAGTACCACGACAGTGGTTAGATCACCAGGGTAACTTATGCTGAATGGCTAACCTGCTCCGGAGCAGGTTATGTTCCAGAGATCAACCCTTTAGAAACGCTGCCTACTGACCAATCAGCTCTCTTTGAAAATGACATCACCATCTGTAGGAAATCACACAGACTGTTTTATAGGCTGCTTTTACGTTTTATGAGGTGATGTGGAGAAATGTTTGTAGGCTATAGCGATATTATCCTACAGAGACTGATTGAAAAGCCTTGTAAGCTACTGTTGTACATGTTTTTACGGTAAGCTTGCTTAAGCCTTGAATGTACTTGGGAGTGGACGCGAACACGGTGAGATGCAGAACCCACGGACGCGGACTTCTTCTGTTTATACTACCTTCTGCAGTCAGCTTGGCGGACACGTTCCACACATGCGCAGTAGATCAGGTGTTGCCCTGGTAGTGCTAGTCACCACGCGGACCCTAGGCGTACCCTACGCGTACCCCCTCTGACGACGATTTTTTCGTCACGCAGACCCGAGTGGACCCTCGAGTAAGTATAGATGTTATACTCGGAAAGTATAATCCTTGCCTTACTGCTTTGAAATGTGTTTGAATGTGTGTATTTTTTATTTGCTCCCCAGTCCGTTTTACACAGTTTGTCGCAGTTGTCAAAATAAATGGGTTTAATTTTTCTTATTGAACATAGGCAATTTATTTTAGGTTAGTAGCTATCTTATAGTCTATCACAGAGACTGGTCACGTTCCGCTCCACCTTTAACGATGTGGGCGCTGGTATTGAGGTGAGTTTCAGTCTTTCAACCACTATTTGAGCACATTTTATGGCATGAATGGATATTTCGTTTAATTGCTTTATGAAGTTAATTTAGAACAAGGTTTGGAACATTTTTGAGTGTGTTCAATGAATTAATTAAATTTTTGAAATGACGTTCTTAAAAGTGAGTTGGAACGTCTTTCAATGTAATTGTGAAACACAGCTGAGCTGAAAGCATAAGGCTAATATTTTCACACATACCATAAGAACACATTAAATCAACACATTATTATAGACTACGGCTGTTCATTTAGTCATTTGCATTTGTGTCTCCCTGTTTAGACTATGTCTATTTGTATAATATTAGGTTACAGCTTGCTCTGCGTTTGTAAAATATCTGCTGCCAGCACTTTTATGTGAACGCACTCACGGCTGGATTGGGAAACCCTGGGTTGACTTACCGAGTTGATAACCAGCTTCGTGGGGCCGCTTATCCTGATCGTAACTGTTTGGGTTAGTGAAGCCAGATAACGAAAAGATATCCTGGGTATGTTGAACTCACTTCATGGTACAGGCCCCTGGAGTATGGGTGGAATACACTTAGCTCTGAATACTGCTTGAAATTGTATTGGGAGGAGTGTTTATCAAGTGTAGTTAAGTGTACTGTGTTTGCATTTTTCAAACTTGGGACACACTTATGTACTACGTGCTGTTGTGTCACCACTTATTTAAAGAGGCCCTGTGAAGTTTTCTTTTAAATAATGTGTTTACATTAAATGTTACTTGCCAAAAAGCATTGTGTGTAGGTATAACAACATGTCAAGTAAAGTATTTCAAATCCACCCACCCCTCCAAGAATCGCCACCTTACCATGATGGAGGGGTCTTGACTAAGAGCAATTCAAAGACCCCATATGAATCGACCCATATGCAGTACCTTGCCCGAAATAGGTAAACAGGGCTTGGAACAGGTAGACCTGGGAGGGAAACTTACCAGCTAGTGAATTACATGAAGTTGGTGAACCAAGAGGCTAGACTCTCCTTTTCTGGAGTTACCCAGGGTGAGAGATGGCTGGTGCCTGTGGATATACTTATGAGCCCCTGGCCGAGCGCGGCAGTCATGGAGTACTCCTTGGAGAACAACAGGGTCTGCCTCTATGCAACTGTGAGTTGCTGAGAGGAAGGCTCTGACTGTTGTTTGTGCATATGCACTGGACAGCAGTTCGGAGTATCTGGCCTTCTTGGAGTCTCTAGATGGGGTCCTGGAAAGCATACTGCAGAGGGATTCTATATGCATATTGTGCTTCTATCTGATATTTTACATTAGGTACTGTCAATCAATAATGAATAAACAGTTAATGTGAAAGAAAATAACTGCATAGCCAGCCAGCCACTTTGACGTCTGTCACTGCGTCACGCTTGTTGTGCATGAGATGGATGGATGAGCAGTAATGCTGGGTGTTGTACTGGACCATTTGGTGGTGAAAAAGGAGCTTGGTGGAAGCAAAGCTTTAAATTTACTAGTCAGTCTATGTTCCAACCCTCACCTGTGATCATGAGCATTGAGTAGTGAAAAAAAAAAAGAACATGTATTTAGGAGTATGAGCCAGATAAGTAGGTATCTCATCTGACTTGGGATCACCAAAGGATCCCCCAGGATGGGCTGGAACTACCTTGCTCTGCCTGCTGCCAGCATGACCTGGCCCCAGATAAGCAGCAAAAAATGGATGAATGGATATTGTTTACCTCCGTACTCACAAGCATGCATTATTCTTCTTCCCTGCCTTTTCTGGCGCATTGCAGCATATCTTGGAATGTCACCCCAACCTGTAGATCAGTGGAATAGTCATTGGCATGTGGCATGTGTACCCCTTGTACGCATTCACAACGTAAACAAAACCAGGACCCTTGCATAGAAGAACCTTTAAGTGCTCAAGACTGTAAGTGTGGGTTTTGGGATAGAGCCTCAATTTCAACCCAGTTCTTGCAGCAGCAGTTGTGTGAAGTTCAACACGGTCACCCTCATTTCCTTTTCCCAGAACGCCACCCAGCAGATCAGAAACAAGTCTTCACGGGCCACCTTACAATCCTGTTTTTAGAATAGTTTTTACCATACATTCTCCCTCTGTAAAGCTTGATCAACAAATTATTCTTTTTAGTGTGTGTGTGAGAGTTCAAGCAACAGTGGTTCTGCTCTTTCCTGGACAGGCTTTAAGACTGTTCAGTAAAGACTCAAATGTGTAAAGTCCTTGCAGAAACACTTATGAAAGCATTTGAATAACACAATGATGAGGACCTTAGTAGATAATGAGAAAATAAACACTTTGCATAAAATTGTACAGGCTCTGTACAACTTATACTTTCAAAAGTAAGTGTTAATTGATTACATATAATTACAAATAATTATTTTATTAATTATTCTATTCTATGAAAAAGGTAATTATGTTCTCAGGAATTATAATCTGTTGTCAGTATATCATAATGCTCTTCAAGTGTTCCCAGCCTTTTCTTGTTATCTTCACAGCATGATTTCACAACAGAAAATAGGACACCCACTGACTGACAGCTTTCTTATAAAGGGCCACCATGAATACAGATTATGTTACTAGGTATTGCACGAAGTCATTAAACTTACATTAACAGACAGTTTTTAGAACTGCCTCCTAGCTGCTGCATTTCTATTTGATTTCCTCTTTTCCACTTTCTCTTAGATTTTCCTTTCATGATTTAAATGTGTTTGTTGAAAGACTTGACTGAGATTTGTTGACGGGCAGCTTGTGGCCAAATCAGATTTAAGAGTGTCCATTCTGCCCACACCCACCAACGCACACACACAATCCCTCTGCCCTTCGCCACTACTGGGACTACATTAACCTAAGCACATCAGCTGTAAGTTCAGGTGATGTCATGTATAAAGAGTGAATGTGGTTTGATCCCAAAATTCAACAATTCAACCATTTCATTCATGTTAAAATATATAAAATAAAATAATTTGCAGGTTATGAAGGCTAATTTATATTTGTTTTTCCACACTTTTAAAAGGTTAAGTCTGATCATTGTATTCGCAGAAGGAACATCTGTCGAAGGACTGGGCCACGAGGCCTGTCACAGACAAATGTGTTGTTGCCTAGTCGGTGTAGATGATGAATCCAGAGAAGGTGCTGTACTTATTGTTGTTGCCTCCATGAGCCTTGCCTCCATCTAGTTTAATGTAGACCTCGTCTCCTGGCTCCAAATGCAGCACAGCGCTGTTACTGGCATAATCATAGTTCTGGTCCGCATCCTGGGCTATGGCACTGGCACGCACCTGCAGGAATGCGCACACACACACACACACACACAAATCATAAACATTAAGTAAACATCTCAAAAGCACAACAAGTCTGAAGCCCTGCTATTTCAAGCTGAAATATTCATGATATCCCACATCTATCTGTCCACATTGGAGCCTTTCACCCCATCTGTCAGATGTATGTGGGCAACTACGTATGTTGAGATAGCAGCATACGTATAGAGCAGTAAGTGACTGAGCAGATCCACTAACCACTAACGAGTGTTATGGTAGAAAATTGTTTTCTTCTTACACTTATAATCTTTTATGCAAGTACTTATAAGAGTGCTATTTTTCTCCTTTTATTATGTCTTATATATTGTTTTAAATCTTTAACCAACCCGGTCTCACTCCCAAGTCGTCACATATGGACGCTTGGTCAAGAGCCATAATCGTCAGTTTGTGACGCACTAGGGATCCCTTTGACGTCATAGTTCGACGTATTGAGGGAAGCCCTGTTGTGTCAGTTTTTGATGGTAAAGGCAAGTATGATATTTAAGAGAAAAGACGAAGTAAGGAGGTGATTGGGGTGGATAGAGGGCCAGAACCCGGACCTTGAAGCAGGAGAACAGGGTTTGTGTCCCGTGCGAAACAAAACATTAAATGTTTTTATTTAGGCGAGTGAGGTAAATTGACATTAACGTTAGTTAACTTAAGTCTTAATTGACATACATAGCTATTTTAACCCAAACCATGATCTTTTCCTAACCTTAACCAAGTAGTTTTGTTGCCTAAACCCAACCAAGTACTTTCTGTGCCTAAACCTAACGAAACTGCAACGTTTCACGACTTTAATTATGCACGTTTCAACATGGCAATGTATCGAAACGTTTTATCTTGAAAGTGTAACCGGATATTGCATATTTATTGTTGCTAAGCGTTGCTAACTTGACTGTGGATCCCTAAACGTCAATAATTGATGCAAAAGGGCTACCCAAGTCTTTAAAAAGCGACGACAAAGGGCCTTGACCATGCGTCAGACATTTGACGAGTAGGGAGTGAGACTGTGTTGCTTTAACCTGTTCCCCTCAATATTTTTGTTATTTTATTTTTGTCTTGTTATTCCAGTCTGTCCACATCTGTGCTCAAACTCTCACCAGGAATACAATTTCCACAACAATTTTGGCACCCCAGATGGGACGGACACATGATTTGGACTCGAGTGAAGTGCGGAGGCCTACTTAGATAGTGGATTCCTCCCTGTGGGTGAGAAGCTGCATTCAACTGAGCCCTGGTCATCGCTCCGGTCCTGGATAAGAACTTACATGGTGAGAAATTAGTAGATAATTGAGTGAAAAGATAAAGAGAGTGAGATTGAACAGAGTGAAGGAAGTGTCTATCTCGCGCCTGAGTGATTTACAGGACCCTCTATCCGCTTGTAAATTGATAAGTGGGTGGAGAGTGGGACTGGATCAGGAGCCCGCGGACAGACGTGTCCTGGTTTTCTCTGTGATGTCCGAGGGTTTTTGGGGTTTCCAGCTGATAAGTTGGGTTTGCAGCGCGTAGCCTCAGATTTAACCCAACTCAGTGGACCTGCTGTGGTCCCGAATACAGAGTAGCTAGAGAGAGAGACACAATCTAACACCTTGTATCCTTCTTTGCCTGAGGTGTACACTGCAAAAAATCCATTCCGGCTAGATCCTGACCTGGACTCCGCACCGCTTCCTCCTCCAGCTTTGAACCAACCGCAAGATCCAAACCAGCAGCTCCAAGGAGCGCACGTTTAAACCCAGAAGAGACTGAAACCAAAGCCGCAACAACAGCTGTGGCTGCGGGAGGGCCAGTAACGCTTCAAGTTGCAATGAAGACTGAGGGAGAGGGCTCTGGAGGTGTCAGGACACAGGTGCCTCAGAGACGTGGCTCCGTTTGCAGAGGTACAGACAAGAAGCCGAGGGCACTGCCTATAGAGCTACCTCGATATGCGCTGATGACAAGCCATGTTTGCCACATGCTCTCTACCATTGTTATGCTAAAATGGCTCATGGGAGAGATTAAGGGGCAAAGGGGGTATGTGCTCAGCAATTAACTCTGCGTGGTACACACGGGGGTTTTCTGTTTTTGTAAAGGACTTTTGCAAGAAATGTATAGTTTGTGCAGCTAACAATGCAGAAGGGGCTATTCACATGCCGCCGGCTGGTCATCCACCTCCAGGTAAGCCTTTTGATGAACCTTATGATGGACTTCATTCAACTTTCAGCATGTCAGGGAAAGACATACTGCCTGGTTGTTGTTGATATGTTCAGTAAATGGGTTGAGGTGTTTCCATCTGCCAAGCAGGATGCCAGTGCAGTGGCAAAAGCCTTACTGACTGAGCTGATTCCCAGGTGGGGATTCCCAGGTGGGGAATCCCAGCGGTCATCAGCAGTGACAATGGACCAGGGTTTGTAAACAAGGCCCTTTCAGAGGTTTCCAAATACCTTCGGTTTGACATGCGCCATCATTGTTCTTATCACCCCCAGAACGCAGGGGCTGTAGACACGAGAATGGGGCACTTAAATCCAAATTAGCGAAGTGTTGCGATTAGACAGGACTCTCATAAGTGAAGGCACTCCCACTAGTGCTTTTCCACATGCGCACACGGGTGAGAAACAAATGGGGTCTGAGCCCATTTGAAATCCTATTTGGCAGACCCCCACGGACAGGAATAGGGCCAGTGAGGCACTCTATACCAACCACAACAAGTTGTGATGATGAAATGTTGAGATACTGTGCTAATTGGTCTTCTTCTCTTTCGGCTCTGCACTCCCAGGTGAAAAGTGCATTGCCCTCAGTGGCCAGGTTGTGGCCCTCTCCACAACCTGAAACCTGGAGACTGGGTACTCATCAAGGACCACAGGAGAAAGCATGGGAAGCAACGGTGTTTCCGGGATCCCTTCCAAGTTCTTCTAACCACCGAAACCGCAGTGAAAGTCACAGGACGGGATACCTATGTCCACGCCAGCCACTGTAAGCCTATCCCGGAGCCCTGCGACAACGTTGAGCCCTCCATCCATATCCACATCCCAACCCAACCGGCTCGAGCTCAGCGGACCAGACGTGCTGAGGACAGCACACCGGAAGGGTAACTTACCTGTGTTTCAGGTAACAACAAGTCACTATATTCTCCGTATTTTTAATTGACCGTACATATAGGCATAGGTACATAACACTCATTGCTCCACGCAGACGTGAGTGGGGGGGGGGGGGGAGCAGTCAGCCAAACACTACACTACACGTATTTGAACTACAGAGTGACCAACGAGGAATCGATGATGGAATCCAGCTCTACATGGCTGTGGCACCCTTTCTGGTTCCCAGGATGGAAACGGCTAGGTCTCAGGGGTTCAATGTTGTTTTTGGCTGGTATTTCTGTGATTATAGTGTTTCCCGTTCTGTATGTGTTTGACAAACGTCCACCTGCATCCAACTCAACCATCGACTGATACCACATAGTCTTAACAGATCAAAGCGAGCAGTAACACCACTGACGTTGCCACTGGAGGGGAATGCCTGGTACAGAGTATTGAATAGTTCTGTGCGTGCCACGTAAATTCTAGTTGCTGTGCATGTATGACCGGAAAGCTACGCTCTAGGCAGTTGCCTCTGCCTTATTTAGCCTGCGTGGAACACTCGCATGTAGTTTCCAAATTTAAACCTTTTCCACTCTCCGACGTTCACCAGACCCCGGCCGGGGCCTGGGACTGCATGCTCACACGCGGCTACAGAATCGGCATGGCCCAGTTAGCCACTTATGCTGAATGTCCACTCCTTGACACCGCAAACACTGTCGCACCTACTCCTCAGAACACCACAGTAGCGACAGACGTCAAATTTGAACGTTTTCACCGAGGTGAGACTCATTCTAAGGTTCACACGACTGATCAGTCGGTGGGGCATTTTCCTGGTGTGTGCTCACACACCTGGGACTGTACCACTGAATGCACCGTAGACGACCTCACAGACTACCACACTTCATACAAGCCTAACGCTGACATGCTGTCACACTAAGTCCGTGCCATACCTGACCTGTACTGGTCATGTGGGAGTGGCCGGCTGTACCAAAGTATGCCTGAAGGATGGAGAGGTACATGCGCAAGGGTTGTCTTGGCATTCGATGTCCTTATTATGCCATACGATGCCCCACAGCCTTATAGGCAGAAACGCTCCATCCCGGATTTCTCCTCTACTCATCCTAATGTGTCCATAGATGCCATCGGGGTGACCCGACTGGTCCCAAATGAGCTCAAAGCAAGAAATCAAATCGCGGCCGGATTTGAATCAAGTCTGTGTTGATGGTGCACAATTAACAAGAATGTAGATTGGATAAATTACTTTACTTTACGCAGCAACTTTACTCTAACCTCATGCGCGATGCTCTCAGGGCTCTGGGAGCACAGTTGCATGCTACCTCCCAGATGGCCTGGCAAAATAGGCTGGCGTTGGACATGTTAGTGGTGGAGAAAGGAGGCGTTTGTGTCATGTTCGGTGATTCATGTTGCACGTTTATCCCCAATAACACTGACAGCGACGGTTCTTTCACTTTAGCGTTGTCTAAACTGGAAACTCTAGCCCAAGAACTAAAAGAGAATGCTGGGACAGATGACTGGATGATTAATTGGTTTGACTCAATGATCAGTAAATGGAAGTCAGTCATCCTGACAGCTGTGTCTGCTCTAATCCTGACCCTAGCAGTGTTCTCCCTGGTAGGATGTTGCATCATTCCCTGTATCTGAGGTGTCATAGGCAGGACTGTCAACACAGCTCTCACCCACCAGATGTTGTCCCTTTCAGGATGTTGATTGTTTTGACCAGGTAGTTTAGATTGAACTGTGTATTTTCAACCTTTTTGCTTGCTCATAACTCCAGGGTGTCTATGTTCTACAAAAACTAGAAAGCTAAGGCTAGTTTTCTTATTGTCAATTGATGATGCGTTTGTTTAAACAGTAAAATGATAACATTCGTTGATGTACTGACAATTTTCTATACTTAGAATGTCCATATATGGACAGAGGGAGGATTGTGACAGCAGAAAATTGTTTCTTCTTACACTTATAATCTTTTATGCAAGTACTTGTAAGAGTGCTATTTTTCTCCTTTTATTATGTCGTATATATTGATTTAAATCTTTAACCTGTTCCCCTCTTTATTATTGTTCTTGTTATTCCAGTCTGTCCACATGTGTGGGGTTTAGGTCAGGTATGTGGGGTTGTTGATTGTTTTCCTCACTAGCTGTTCTTCTCCTTCTTTTGATCTTTTGTTCCCCAAAACATAGATGCTCAGACTGTGTAAATGATCATGCAGCCCTTTGCTCTGGGCCAGACGTTAGTGACTGTCTTAGGAGACAGAACCTCTGGTCCAGCTGATATTGTTGTAGTACTTCTCTGTTTATACTCTTTTGTTAAATAAATTCTTCAAAGACAACGGTTCGTTGTAACTCAATTATTTGCTCAACCTCTCACCAGGAATACAATTTCCACAACGAGTACTTGGCGAGGTGTTCAAGGTAATTAACATACTAACAGTTTCGCCAGTTAATATCCAAAATGGGAATGGATTATCCTCTGAGGAGCTTAAATTGGCTCAGTAAATATCTGCCAATCTGTCCATTAGATTTTGATATTTCTTGCAAGAAATATGGGAATTTGGCATAATGGTTCTGAATGAAATGTCAGGTGATCAGTACAGATATTAGAATTCCAGGTAACCTCATGTTTTGGACCATTGTATTGATAAGATTTTTGCTATTAGATGTTTTCTTACAGAATATATATGAAACCCATGACCCAAGTACTCATACACTCTGTCATTGTGTTACTTATGGATGGAATTATAATGAAAATTAAAGCTGCAAGCAGCGTTGGGCCGGCCCTCGAGGTGTCGAGGTGTAGGGTTTTCAACATGGGGTCAGGATTGGTTATTAGCTAAATATCAAAGATATTCTAGAAATATTAATAAAACTATTAATATTCAAAATTATTAATTATAATTAATACATACAGGGCACCACCCTGGAATCAGGGACCAATAACCAATTAAAGCTGCAAGCAGCGTTGGGCGGGCCCTCGCACTTGTAAGCGCGTCCGCGCGTGAGCCGGCCGAGTTGCACATTCTGGAGTTCTGCCGGTGCGGCTGTGAATTTCCTACGCGTTTCCGACGCCGCATGAATGTGCTATATGTCACTTCCTGTGTCCCCTATGTGGAGCTACATAGCACTTGCCGCTATGAATATAAATCGGTATTGACGTGTAGATGTCTGCGGGGTGGGAGAGTTATCAAGCACGTAAAGTTTGTTTCAGATGTGAGCATGTACACTGAACAATAATGTACCCAAACAATAAAATAAATTCCTTTTATATTTCCCTGCCTTGTTGTTTATGTGTAGATAAAGAGGAAGAATGTGAGAACAGCACACATTTCATCGTTACTGTGTGTTAGAGCATGGGAGAACAGTGGATACTTTTAATACAGCCCACACCCCTAATACTGTGTAACTATAACAAGTAGAGAACAGAAGAAAAAGATGTTCTTTCTTTACAACTGTCTGCATAGCTTATTCATATTGTGTAATGAATGAAAATAAATAGGCCTACTAGGCTACTCTCTACTTTGACATTTAAGATTAGCTTGTTTGATCCACCTTCATACACATGTGACATTACTGTACAACTTGAGAAAGGTGAGTTGTTTTCTGCTCCAGCCTGCCTAAAAGAAAAGCGTTTTGGGGATTAAATGGACTTTATTAGCTGCTGCAGTGCAGGATGAACTCAGAATAGACCCATTTCTCACCTTATTATTCTAAATCATGCAACGAAGAAGAAGAAATGCATAAGAAATCCTGGGACAAAATCTGTCCACAAATACTGTACAGCATGTAGTCTGATGATCAAGACTTGTGTTATAGCTGACTTGGGCAGTGAAATGTTTTTTTAATTCATGTGGTCATAGTTGTCCACAACTCAAATCAGAATATAAGAAGAAATGTTTTATACCACCTCAAGAAGGCTTCCTATCAGAAAGGTAGGAAGGTATTTCAAATGTACAACTGCAGTACTTAAATCTAAGTAAAGTAATTTCCCTGACATTTTTGTGTTACTTTACTTTTAATAGACCCATGTAAGAGGTTTTATACTTCCTGTGAGTATAATCCAATCAATCTTATTTTCATACTGTATATCCGTTGTGTAATTTGATAAATTGTGTTGTATGTCGTGCTCGCATCTCAGAGAAGACTCTGACTGCAACATGCGTCTTTGTAAAGAGAGAAACAGACAGAAAAAGTCTCTAACTCTGCCTGTCAGCTCGCTCTGCTCCGTTAAAACTGAATTTACCATACAGAATTGAATACGAGTGCACTCCAGATTTAGCTGCAGCCAGCTGACCGTGTGCTTCTCCCTATACTGCAGTTCTGTGTCCATGCATGCAGCAAACTGAAAGCACTGTCTGTCGGTGCTTCTACGTGAAAAGAGAAGGAAGACATTGCTGGTAGTATTGTCTTCAGAGTTGTTAAACACCTCAGCGCACTGAAGGAAGCCATCTGACTGTGTGAGGGGCAAGATCGTTGATGTCTGCAGGCAGAGTAGGAGCTCTCCTGTCTGACTGGTCCACCAATAGCAGAGAAGATGACCCCTTGAGACACAGCCCCTCCTCATTTGCATAATGAGGCAGAAATGCATACAAAAATTTAAAAAAGACAGGCAGAAATAAATACCATGGGTGAAAATAAATAAGGTAAATAAATACAAAGGAAGAATAAAACAGACAAAAATATTAAAACACACACATAAATAAATACATTAAAAAAATTAGTAAT